TGACGAGACACCGATCAGCCAGAGGAGCCATCAATATAGTTGGAAATATTGCTAACAAATTATTTGGTGTTTTAGATTCAGAATATGCTGAAACGATTTCTAAAACTCTAACTCAAATCAACAATAATGAAGATGTACTATCAAAAATGATCAAAAATCAGACTACAGTCATGGACTCAACGCTAAATATATTCAGCAAAACTACAGAAGCCATTGCAGTTAAAATGAATCAACTACAAGATGAGACAAACAAAATAGTAGATTACACTAATAATAATACTAAACGTATTAACCACCTAGAGATCTATACATCACTGGTAACCCAACTTACATGGATGGCACACACATTAATAAAAATTGAAGCTGCTATATTTGATGTCTTAACTGATACTCAGCATGGCAGAATTAATTCTCTTTTGATGTCTCCACAACAACTTCAAGACCAAATCATGAAGATCAAGGCCCATTTACCTCATTCACTTCGTCTTCCATTTAATCAAGAGGACGTTATTCATTTATACACGTTGATATCTTCACAAAGTGGAATCACACAAGATCATTTGATAGTTGTCTTACAACTGCCATTAACCGATCATGAGGATTTCGATTTATTCAATCTCGTCCCAATTCCTGCAACAGTCAACAATACAATGATGACAATAGTTCCAGAAGCTTCATTTTTAGCTGCCACGCCGCATAGAGACCAATATTTTGCCTTAACTCGTGAACAGTATAAGGAGTGTATGACTTTCAAGCAACCAGAAAACAAACTACTCTGTTCGGATAAACAATCAAAATATAACATCGGCTCACAGGCTTACGCTTGCGAATTTAACCTATTAAAAAACATATCTGACAATACGTGTAATGTGCAGGAAACAAAATCGAACATTATTTGGAGTCGCCTGTATCATGCGAACCAATGGATATTCGGGTCAAAAAACAATACAACAGTTACGGCCGTCTGTAAGGGCATCACGACTCATTTAGAACTACAAGGTGCAACACTTCTGAAATTACAAGACGACTGTGTACTCAAACACCAAACGTCTACAATTCAGACACATCAAACGCTTACCGACACCATGTATGAATCTTACATTGCATTTGGTGAGATACCTGTCATTAATAACTCAGAATTATGGTCAAATTTTAAAGGAAGTTCATTGAATCTCAGCAATGAACTTAAACAGTTAAAGCTACTTCACAATACTCTGAAAGATGAAAAATTCGCTGAATTACCACACAAACTACAGACGGACAGCATGCACCACTACGCAATTAATTCCACAACCCTAATTCTTGTCGTTGGAGCCATCATATGGATGATATGGAAAGTAAAGCAAGTAAAGCGTCCAGAAGTCAATCAGCCAACACAACCTCTCACACCAAACGCGATGCCACGAACAAGATTTACTTTGGAGCCTGAAACAATTACATAGCTTCTCAAATTCTCATGATGCTATAAACTCTAAATTTTATATTTTTAAGTTTATATAATATTGTATAACTATTTATTGTTTAAAAATTATATGTGTATTAATATATCCACAAAATGTTGTAATTATTTTAAAATTTTGTCTGTTGATTTTAAAAAAAAAAAAAAAACACATAACGCATGGCAAATCAAATCAATCATTGCTCATAGATTCATTCTTGAATAACGTAATTCAAGCCGGGCAGAATGTTAAGTTTAACAAACCTAACATATTTTAGCTCGCTTGTAGTTACACTTATGCAGCAAATAAATATTGTAAATATTAAATACATTGTTTATGTTTATAAGTTCAATAGCTTTACATATTGTATTTATGCCTATGCAGCAATATGTGAAATTTAAATTATTATTTTAGTCATCAATAATTGTAAATATTATTATGCATAGTAAGTAATTCTATACTATATAAGGTAACAATATTGATAATAAAACTTGAGAGCGAAAACAATCGTCTTTACTTCAAAATCAAAATTTGGTTATTGGTAGATGTGCCTTTTAACCACTGTAGCAATAAATAAAAATTATTTACTTACTTGGCTAGCGGTTTATGTGCCTGCAAGCCTTTCGTCA